GGTATACGGTAGACTCCTGCAGAGGTGAGAGGATCCCTCTTGTCCTTTGCTGAACGTAGCATTTGTTGGATTTTCTTGGTGGGTTGTAGATTGTTTGTATGTTGTGTTTCCTCATCAGCTTCCCTATGCGTCAGTGGTTCCCTTGATGTATGGCAGGAACACTTTTCCTCTGGGTGGATCTTCAGCTTTACTCTCGTGGCTTGTTCTTGGTCTTGCAGCTCTTCTGATGTCTGAGGTGGAGTATCCATTGGCCTGGAGAGCCCAGTTGAGGTGGTTCAGTTCATCTTGGAGGAGGTGAGGTTCGCAGATTCTTTTTGCACGGTCTGCCAAGGCTTTAATGGTGCTTCTTTTTTGACTTGGGTGATGGTTGGAGTTTTTATGTATATATCTATGAGAAGCCATTGTTGTTGTGTTAATCATGCCACTAGATGAGTCCCTCATTCTGTGAATACTGTGTTGATTGGCTGTGCACTGATCTCCACACATAAATCAAATGAAAAAGAGATGGCTTTATGAAGCCTCCTCTTCTATCCATTCAAGAGGGGAGGGGCTCAGAGTTCTTTGCTAATGACTCATCTTATCTGGGAGAAATGACCAAATAGCATAATGAGGCAGCTGTATGATCAGATAAGGGTCAGACAAAATGCCCCAAGGGGGTGGTCGGCTTAGGAGACGAGGATTTCAAATAAAATGCTGCTCGGAACAACCTCTGCACCACAAGCTCTCTTGACAGATGCAGTACTACCCCTATGCTCAACATATAGGTCTTAGCTCCATACAATTCCAGCAAAGGTGGAAGTAGCAGTAGCATACCTTTTAAAAAATATACTATACTTCAAATGGTCACTTTTCTGGTCCTGGGCATCTATATAACATCAGAGTAGCTAACTTTCAATCCATATTGTTCCCACAAGAAGATAAGTGAATATTTACATTAGTGGACACAGTCATCGGTTCACATAGTGCATGTACTTTACAAAATGCAAAAGCTATAGGTTTCCAGTCTGTAATGATTTTCTGATATGAGTGGTGCATCAAATTACACATATACATAGTGCAACAGAAACAACAGCTTGCAAATGGGATCACCAAATGTATCATGATGTTGTTGGTTTTTTGGTTTAGATTTCAGGAAGATATGAGCTCATCTGAAAATCAAATTACAGTGAACAAGCATACAGCCCAATGTAGCATACAGCCCAATTTATTTGAAGCAGTATATGTAATATTATTTTTCTTTTCTTTTTTTTAAAAAAACAAACAAACCTTCAAATAGCCAGTCAGAAACAATGCATTTATTTGTTAAGGCAATGTCTATAAATAGGAAGCATATAATCTTAGACCGAAAAAACATTTTGTTTACAAAGGCCTTAACCACACTTTTGAACCCGCTGTATCAGTCATGTTTATCTATCTCTCCATCTCTCTAATGTAATGTTGATGGTAATATATTTTATACTGCCTCTAATACCTACAATAAATAAAATACTTTATTATATCAGCTTTACCCTCTCTTCACTAGCAAAGGTAGGCGCAGCCACCCCTATATAGTAGTGAAGGTCAAATGTATCCAGATGTGTGAGACTTTGCTTTTTATGTCTTTTCATGCTACCCACTTTAATTACTGTGGCTGCATTCTATGGCATGCTAGAGTTTTTAGTTCAGGAAGGTACTAGAGCTCTCTGGCTGAAAATTCCATGGACAGCCCTCTAAATTGTAAATGCCAAGATTCCACAGGATTATTTCTGATTTCAATTTCAAACCAATGCTTCAGAAAGAGACAGTGTAACATAGCTGGATGTGTGGCTACCACTGCCTGCTGTGGCATGCACTGTCTTTCTAAAAAGTATTATTTTGGACTGGAGCCACAGAAGTAAGACCCTGTAATGTTCTGAGCAGGGAAAGGTCTCTTTAGCTGTGTATTTCTGCATGGCATGGAGCTGGATTAGATGGCCATGAAGTCCCTTTCACCTCTCATTCTATGTTTCTGTTTAGAGGTATAGAAAAACCAATTCACACATCAGTAACTAAAATAATTGCAGGTATATCTCCGTTAACAAGGCTCTGACAAAGCAGCTGAAAGCTTTTTAATAGCATCAGCAATGGAAAAGGGTGAAGAGAGCTGGAAAAGGCAGACATTTGCAGTTCTGTTACAGAAGCATATCTGCAGTAAAATGTGTAATAAATAAAGACCAAGCTAGGAAAGAAAGGGATTCTACTTTATTTAATCACATTCCCTACAATGGGCAGAGTAAAGAGCAGCCGCCTCTAGGATCTCTCACTGAGCATCAATGAACAACAAACAGAGAAAAGAGGAAAACGGATAAGACTGCTTCATGAAGTATCCCTAGTATTTTGGGCCATCAAAATGGGAGTTATAACAAAAGTGGGGGTCAATGAAAGAAAAAAAATCCTTATATGTATGTTATACAAAGCTTTAAAAGGGTCTCCAGAAGATTCAAAATGTTTTTGTTTATTTATGCAAAGGTTACCTGATGTAGCTACTGCATTTCATGTGTGCATGCTGCTCATTTTGAAAAACAAGTCTGCTGAAACATGTTGAGTTGTTCTTCTTTTTTATGGTATAGGATTTTATCCCTATTCTTTCCAGGTTATTTCTGCTCCTGGTACCAAAGTTTCTGTTAAAGAACTAAAGCCCAAAAACATATCTACTTCATTAACTGAGATATACCTGTACTACTCACACAGCTTTAATGTAACATGCTACCTTTCCTTCCCCAGAAAAAATTATATGGCAAATTACATGCCATCTGTGACAAGCATGTAATGTAACACATTCATTTGAAATAACTCATTCTAAATTTAGCCCTGGGTGAACTTCCATGTGACAAACTATATAGTACTAAGTCACAAAACAATTTCATTTTATGTTTAAAGGTAAATTAAGATAAATCTACAATACATACACACACCTCTGGAGATTGGGGACTAGGTTTCAAGCATATAAGATTTCCCTCCAGTGTAAGAGTAGACAATTTTGCACAGAGCCCCAGATACTGAATCTGACTGAGATCTTCAATGTTGTTTCCTTCAAGGTCTAGAACCTCAAGATGTTCCAGCAGGCTCACTTGACTTAGGTCAGCAATGTTGTTGTAGGCTATGTAGAGTTCCTAAAAAGAAAAAGAAAAATCAGAAGCAATGTATAAATTTTTAAGATTTAACTATGTACTGCACTTTTAATGAAAACACCAAACTAATGTCTTCCTGTCTGTATACTTGTATATAATTATTATGATGTGGCTTTAAATTGGCTCAGACCATAAGGTATTCTTGGCAAGATTTATTAGATATTTAGAGGATATTTGTCTATTCTTTCAGTTGCTGTTATTATTTGGTGCCTTCCAATCACTTATGGTGACCCTGCTGTAGGATTTTCTTGGTAAGATTATTCAGGACAAGTTTGCCAGTCCTGCAAGGCAGAGAGAGTGTAACCTGAGTATATTTCTATGGCTCAGCAAGGATTTGAATCCTGGTTTCCTGAAGTCCAGCAGTCAGACCACTACATTGCACTGGCTCACAGGAATTTATTTTTACATCTCAAATAATCTTAAATTCTCAAGAATCAAAGTCTGCAAACAGAATACATAAGAGCTTATGATGGAAGTCTCCTTCACCTATGATGCATGACAATGTTTTCTGAAGGAGACTATATGTTAAACCTTTTAGAAGAAAACACATATACATAAATACTGAGCCTGAACTCAGCGCCCAGTTCCCTTCGGAGGTCCAGGCTATTTGGCTGCCAACATCTCCTCGTATAAGTTTGCCTGGACCCTGAGATCTTCAGGAGAGGCCATTCTCTTGGTTCCACCTACATCTCAAGATCGGTTGGTGGGAACAAGAGAGCAGGCCTTCTTGGTGGTTGCTCCTTGCCTCTAGAACGCCCCCTTTCCCAGGGAAGCCAGAATGGGCCCCTCCCTGCTGTCCCTCTGGCATCAGGCTAAAACCTTTTTATTCAGACAGGTTCTAAAGGAGAAGGTTTTTAAGATCAAGTCTGGAGGTGCTGTGATTTTTAGCTTTGAATATGTATTCATGAATTTTTTAACTGTGGTTTCTTTAATGTCATTGATATTTAATTCTGTTTTAATGTTTGTATATCTGTACACTTTAAATTGCATTGAAATGCTTTTAATGTAAGCTGCTTTGAGTCTTCTTGTGGAGCTAAAAAGTGGGGTATAAATAAACATAAACATAATAACAATAATCAACATAAAGAAGCTGAGATATGTCAACAAAATTGTGTCAAATCACGAACGGTCTCACCTTCAAAGAGCAACAGGAAGAGATCCCATCTAAATCTGGAAGCCTACAGCAAGCCATCCACAGGACTTTGAGATGAGTCAGAGCTGTTCCAAGATCCCTAAGGGAACAAAATTTGGGACCTTGAAGATCAGAGATTCATCCATTCCTCATCTGATTTCAAACAAGTGATCAATGTATAAAATCAGAAACTGATGTAAACTACACTTCAACTTCTATAAGCACATTTTTAATTCCAATTTCCATCTTAGTCAGATTCAAAAGCTGATGACAGAACATGTGCAAAATTCCAAAAAATATATATTTCTATCTTAACAAATGAAAGAGAACAAAGCTTGAAAATCCAGGAATGCAGAAACAGTCAAAATCTCTGAATATGTCTTAGTTTCATTGGGTTTTAGGCAATAAGGTCAAAGCAATTAATCCTCATAATTTTTTCAGGGATCCAAAGTAAAAGATGTTCACAGCACACACATGAACAAATGCATGACATACACAGATAATTAGTAAGGGCACAATCTATCTGCAACATTCACCAGCCCTGTTGATGCTCCTTACATTAAAACAAGTATTATATCTCACTAACTTGCAATGCTATGTACAATGACAAAACAGTTAGTGTGCAATCTGATATTAATTAATTAACTGGAAAACTCTTGTGAACCCAGAGGTATCCACCCTCCAAGCTGGACATTCTGCAATTCCAGTTTAATTTAAATTAATTCATAGTTAAAAGCTTGCCATAAATCATTTTATACTGCCATACTGAACATGAACCCAATCTCCACTCAGTCATTTTAAATGTAACATTTTTTCCAAGTAATAAGAGTTTTATGGAGATGCAGTCATAGAAACTTACAAGTGATTAACAACATAATCCTATGCATATATTTAGTAAGATTTAATTCCTTCTATATTCAATGGCACTAACTCTCCAGTCAATGTGTTCAGGGCTTCATCCTAAAACAAATGTGTGCCTTAGAGTAAATTCTGTATTATTAACTTCCCAAAATTCAATATTCTAATATACTTTACAGAATCTCTCTTCCATAGAAGGCACTAATGGAAATCAATTATCAAAGTTGGTGATAATTACTGAAAACCTGGGAGAAAGCAATGTGGTATAGCACTAATTGAGATTTTGAAAATTGTGACAGCAAGACATTCAAGAAGATCTACTCTAAGTAAGTCAAATTCAGCCAAATTCATTGAGAAGACTCTCTTTGACTTCACCAGTACAAAGCTAAATGATTCCAGATGTCAGATCAAAACAGAAGGGGAAATGGCAACCCAACCTGCAAACCTTATTGCAATTTGTGAACTCTGCTGCCAAGAAATGGAGCACTTTAGGACGAAGTCCACACTCTCCATCCAAACACAAATTAATATCCATTGTTGCTACTCTACTCCTATACACTGGAAGAGGCCCCACACAATTCAATAAGGCTGAGGATCTAAGCCATCTCTTTCTCTGACTGGTTGCAACAGCACCAAAAACACCATAAAGACCAGATTGTTTCCATTAAGGTGGGGCCTCCTGTAATTCCACTTGAAGTGTCCAGAAGCCTGATTCTTTCCAATTCAGGTTACTTGGAACATGAGAAGATGTGGAAGCATGGTGTTCGAAACAGCCCAGCATGAAATACAGGAGGCCTCCATGATCTGCCATATTCTTTGGTCTGTAAGGAGGCATCTGTGCAAGATCGATGTAGGAAGAAAATAAAGAACAGGTATAGTCCAGGTATAATAGTTGGTCCTGGCCTTCTTCGAAACAGTTCAGTCTTAGGCTTCTGAATGTGTGCATCACTGTATTTCTAATACTTCAGAGTCCAGAGATATTGCATTATAACTATGCCAAAATTGGCAAAACATTGAATTAAAGGGCTCATTTGACTAAGCCAATCCCATTCTCCAACTCTGCAGTTCCATGAGGAAGCAGATCTTATGCTCAGGAAATACACATCTGGTTGATGACTGTGCACACAGCCTTCTGCTATACCATGGGTGGGCAAAGTATGCTTTGGAGCATTTGAGGGTGATAGTTTTGATTTTGCAAGTCATGGGTGTGTAGCTCTGCAAGGTCTTCTGGTGTACTAATAAGAATGTTCCTTGTTTGTGAAGCAGAAAGCTTGTCCCTTTTAGGACTGGCAGGTGGTTTTTATATAAAGGATGTCTTCCTTTTATATAAGCTGATCAAGATGCCAAAATAGTCTATCTCGGGGTACAAGCACTTCAAAAAGATAGAAATGCATGCATCATGACATTTGTGAATGTGGACAATAATGTAATATCACAGAAAAGGACATGGGTTTGTTAACTGAAACCAATACTTTTATTTGGATTATGACAGATGGTGTAACTGTTTAATGAACATGGAGAATGGAAGATTAATGTGCACATAGCTAAATAAGAAACAAATTGGGATGTGCACTAAGACTTGTAACTTCTTGTTACAATAAGTTCAATAAAGAGAACAATACAAAGTAAATACATGATTCATGGAGAAATATCAACTTATCAAAAGGACTGTATAATTAATTTTGAGACTGTAAAATCCTTTAGGTGACATTTTCAAATCTGCAAATAAGCGAAATAGGTGTGTGTGTGTGATTTTAAATTCATTTGCAATGCACAACACTCTCCCCTCATAAATAGACTCAATTAATACACTCAGTTATTTTAGTCCTCCACATCCTCCTCAAACCAAATTTAAATCAAGTTCAGACAATGGGGTCTCCCTTCCACTTATAAATCACTATGTAAAAAGGTACTACTCCCAATGTCCAGTTGATTTATTGGTGTCCCATGTCTTGAAGTCAGATGTGAAACACAGAGAAGAAATGGTGACCAGATTAATACAATGCCATTTTCCTTTATTCCCTTCTGGTCAATAACATTTTTTCACGCAACAAGAACATAAACACTATCAAGCCATAACCTTACAAGAAAGAGGGCCTGCAACATTTTCCACAGTTTTGCAATTTGCCAAAATGTAGAAAATTGGCTGTCTTTACGTGACTTCCAACACTAAATTTTCTTTTATACAACTGTTACTTTCTTGTTGTAAGACAAGTGTCAAACAATAGGCCAACATAAATTCACAGAAATTATTGTCCTTGTAGAAGATTATTTTTTAATCCATTTCTGGATGAAGAGCCTGTTACCCACAGAGACTGGTAAGGATGGGCAATTCTCCAGGTAGCTGCCTAATTACACTATTATTTCTCAACATGCAACTCTTTACATTACCCAGGAGGAGATGATAATTGTTCCCTTCTTATTTCTGATTCCATCAATCACTTACTTCTTTCATTATCTTGGAGCATGATATTAGAGGTACATTTCAAACTCATTAGATATGAGAAATCTGTTTTCAGTTGGACAAAACTGTTCATTATATTGTAGCTGTAACAGAAAATGAGAGGCTCACAACATGAAATTAAAATCCCTAACTCACCATATCTCTAAATATTGGAGGCAAAAAGAAAGGATGTGAACATGGGTAACATTCACATTGCACAGTAGGGAAACTGAAAATTATGCCAGATCATGGACATTACATGGAGGCCTCCTGTATTTCATGTTGGACTATTTTGCTTCCACTTCCTGGCTACTTCTAGGCAGATGCCCTCACTATTGACTATGTCATCTTTTCACATGCTAATGGATGGATCCCACTCAAACACCTGCAAATCAGGCTTGCTATTTGTACCCTCATGCTTGGTTAATAAACATTGGTTATTTTTTCCCACCCTAGAGATTCCACAAGTATATATACTCCACTTGCTTTACCACCATCAGATCATCTGAAGATGCAATACTAGGTCCAATGAAAGCCATCTCTCTGTCTACCATACTTTTGGACTGTCAAGACCAAGGGTCCCCAAACAAAGGCTTGCAGGCCAGTTGCCACCCTCCAAAGTCATTTACCCATCCCCCATCCTGAGCTTTAGAATTAGGGTCACCCTAAATCTGAAACAACTTGAAGGCACACAACAATAACAACAACAACAACAATCCTAATTAACTTGACTGTTTCATCAACCAAAAGTAGGCCCACATTTGAAATACTACTAAGTTTATGTTGGTTAAAATTGTTCATTTTAAAAAAATTGTGTTTTTTTTTTTGCACTACAAATAAGATATGTGCAATGTGCACAGAAATTCATTTGTGTGTTTTTTCAAACTATAGTCCGGCCCCTCAACAGTCTGGGGGACAGTGAACTGGCCCTCTGTTTAACGAGTTTGAGGACCCCTGCTCAAGACATTGACAGCACTAGTCTTCAACAGCAGGAAAAAGTAGAAAGTGCATTGTCTTCAGTCACTGCACTCCAAGATATGTGATATGAAGTTATATATCTTATTTATATAGTGCCAAGAGAACCAGGTCTTTTTTTTTTTGGAGAAATTCAATACACACTGTATACACAGTAAAAGGATGCTGAACTAAGAAATTAAATATTCCTGCCAAAGGGAAACCATTGTTACATTTGCTTTTCAAAAACTCTTTTCAATAGCTGGAAACATTGTGGCAATTTTTAATTTCATCATTAACATGGTGAAGACCAACATTTTCTCCCAGACACCGATGCAGACAAACACGTGAAAAGGTTAGCAGAATGACAAGAGACAGTTTACGAAGCCAGGCTTAATTAGCTATTTAATTGGGAATGAAAGGCAGACATAAATTAGAGTGAAAGGCCTACTTTCCAGGAAGTCAGTCCTTTTGCCCATATCGTAACTGACTTTTCTTCAAATCGACATACTAAGAACTGGACTGCATGTCATGTAGAAGACACAAAATAATGCTTTTATACAAAGACTACAGTCTTCAATAGTGTGAAGAAAACAATATTTTGAATGCCTCTAGGCTTATACAGTACTACTAAATCAAGCAACACCCAAAATTTACCTCTGCCTCAACAAGAATAAAAAATTTCACCAGGAACTTAAAAGTACCAGGATACAGTAATTTTTTACAAAGTGGGTTGCTCTCAAGAACCTGGGTTCAATGTATCACTAGTCAGTTTACATATAGCTCTTCTCTGTTCAAAAGCAAACCCCATTAATTTTTATGGAACTTATTCCCTTGTAGGTACAAATCACAATCAATGGGACATATTTCAAATTAAACAAAGAATTACACTGGAATTGACTTTAACATGAATAGATTCTCATCTCCTACTCTCAATTTTTGAAAGCAAAACAATCTGTTACATAAAATATAAAACATGCTCTTCCTAGTGTGCCAAAGCCATGCGTGCAACAAATACATAGTATGTTTACCTGAGCCTGTCTTTTAAATTAGCAAAAAAAAAAAAAGATAACTATTAGCCATAGATGTGGCATTTAGAAAATGCACTTAACTCTTAATCACGTACTGAAAGGTTATCAATCAAAAAAGAAAAAAATATTTCCCAGAAGCATCGCATGATTTTCCTCAGGGAGTGCTATTTCTTTCCATGTAAATATACCTTTAATATGAAAAAATGCAACTTCTTTTTTACAAAACAAAACACACACATTTTTTTTCACCTGACTATTGATCTTTAACCCCATGAAGCAACTGATATTTTAACTGGTCCCAGTCTATATGGAACCTAAAGGCTACCTTCTCTGCTACTGACTTCCCCAGACATTTCCACTAAAACAACAAAATACTGTATTTCTTTACTCTAGAAATGATAAGTCATTCAACAAATGGCGTCTACTCTATATGCCCAAAGAATTAACTACAAAAGTCTAATGGAACAGAAAAAAATTATCTATATTTTCCCATATATCCCTTTACTCATCCCTGAAATTAGAAAGCAGAAGCAATTAGATTAAAAATTGTGGCTGTTAGCCAGACTAGAACAAATACCCCATTAGCTTTGATATATAGCCTTTTTTGCCAGAATCATTAAAAAGATAAGCAACATATGGCATCATGAGAGAAGAAAATATAGTTTTTTAACCTGCCCTCTTCAAAGAATGTTCCATGTTTCTACTTCAATTATTATGTCATAAATCTGAGATTACTTGGCTGAAAAGAGATAGATGGAAGCAACAGAGTAAAAGCCTTATAAAATAATGTAAGGTAGAATGTAAGGTAGTTTTTATCATACACTGTGAATATAGTTCTATGTTAGCCAGCAAAAAACAAGGCTTCTGACCTCTAGATCAAAAATGGGCAAAATATGACTTACAGATGCATGGACCCTTCTTTTGAGGCATCTAAAACTACCCATCGTCAGTTTCCACCCCCACCCCCCTTGATCCCAAACCCTACCGATTTTAAAATAAACTTGTCCCCAAACCATGCGCAACATCCGATCTGCCAAGTTGGGAAAAAGGTGAGGAAGGAGGGAAGGCTCCCTTTCTCCAGTTGGGTAAGGGAGGAGAATGGGGTGAGAAGGTCTTGCCTCTTCCTCTCCTCACTACCTTTCTCGTGGGGTCCCTAATAGAGGCAGGGTTTTTTTTTGTTGCTCTTCTCCCCTCCCCACTTTTCCCCTAAAGCACATTTTCACACACACCCCTTTCTATTATTTTCCCTATCTGTATCTTGACAGTGTTACAAGATTCTTTGTACCAAAAAGAACCCAACAACAACAACAGATTAGTACACATTATGATCTTCCTGGAAGGAATAATATTGCCATCGGCTTCCTGTACCTTTACAGATCACAGAACATGAATTTCACCTTTTAAAGTGTTTTTCTACTTGTCATATCTACAACAAAACTGAAGGGCTCAACAGAGCTTTCTCAGCATAGGCAAGATAAAGACCTACTTCAGTCTCACTGGGTTATAAAGATATAAAGATGTATTTGCAAGGTGGCATTGTGAAACAGGAGAGTGAAAAAGCTCTCTGAACTTTTCTTTTCATGTTATGTGTCCTTACCTCACAGATGTAATCTTACTATGGTTCAGTTTCAGATGTTTTAGATTAGGGAGATAAGTACCTGTAAGATCAGGAGAAAAACACAAAAATATCCAGATAAATACAGTAGTCTCTACATTACATATATACACACACCATCCTTGAAGACATACAGGGGGAAAAACAGGTGTTCATCCCAAATGACAGTGAGACCACTGAACCAATGGGACTTGAATTAATGTTCCAACAAGTCCCATTCACTTAATGACTTCATTGTCGTTGGGACCATAATTGTTCTAAAAATAGTGGTTCCCCATTGTGTTAGGCTGATTCCTGAGGTGCAAGTACTTTCTCTGAAGAATAATAGAAAGAAAAAGATTACCAGGACTCTATTTGACATTACAAGTAGCAACATTTTAAAAGTTGTTTGAAAACAACTGTTTTGGCTAAAGTCAGTTCTCCTCCCACAGATGGCTTGCAAAAGGGGTTGCTGTTAGAGAGCCTGGTTTTGCCTCAAGTGAAACAGGATTTTAGTAAGGCTTTGTTGTTGCTATTTTTATTTTAAATGGATAGGAACATCAAAAAAAACAACAGTAGAGCGTTTGCACAGACACACCCATATAGTCATCAAGATAACTTGCAAACAGACTCGTATATGGGTCATTCAATACCAAGTAGTTTAATTTTTTTAAGTTCTCACCATCATGTTCTCCAATTTTGTTCAATTTTTAGCTGAAGTACCAGTCAGGTGTTAAACTAAGTTTCCAAAATTTGAGGTCTCTAACTGCAATAGTTGCTGATCTAAACCTCCTTATCTGAAAGGTAGAACAGTCAACGTGCGCACGACATTTAAGAAAATGCCATTTTTAGGGTCTAATAAAATTGAAACTAAATGTATAAAAATGGCTATTAAATTGAAATCCTGTACAGTTTTTTCTCCTGATTCTGATTAAATTAACATTATGTATGCAAAATCCAGAGGACAGGACCAATTTAATGTATTGAAAATTTTAAAAAGTAGATTTGATTAAATATTAAAAGGAACTCCTTGAGAGTAAGAGTGGTTGGCAATGGAACCAATTGGCTACCAAAGTGGTGGTGGGTCTCCTGTTCTGGACATCTTCAAAAAGAAGTTGCAGCGCTACCAGTTAGGGCTAATTTAGCTGGAAGGTTTTGGGCACAATGGTCCATGAGGCTTCTTCCAATTCTGATTCTATGTAACTCTTCCAGTCTAGCATTTTTGACTTTATAGTCCACAACATACATAACTTTGTTTGAAAATCAAGTTGCAGGTGTACAATGAAATATTGCAAAATGGTGTTCCTGTTATTTTTAAGTTTGCAATCAGTTCTACCAATTTTGCCTTTCTGCCAGTGGAATGGTGAGTGCTGGGATATTGAATCCTGCACCTGCAGCTCCTCATTTACCTTCCTCTCCATCTGATGAATAACCCTTCACAGCAGTTTTAAGGAACTTTGGGGAGGAGGGGAAGTGAACATCCCAATGCATTATTGGAAGTTGGTTTGCATAATGTTGGATTCAGCCCATTGTCTGGGTAATGTTCTCAAAACCTCTTCCTTCAGAGTTATTGCTTTCATTTACATGCAAATTTACACAAATAAGCAATCAATAAAATGGCACAGCATGTAATTCCAAATGGGAGGAGGGAAGGAAGGAGAACCCAAGAGTCTTAAACTCATCTCTTAGTGTAAAAGGAACTAACAAATTAAAATGAAGTTATCACTTAACTTAGAAATTTGCCAATTTAAAGTGCCAGCTTAATAGCAATTGTATTTAACTAAAATGATGGACTTAGTTGGAGTTTCACCAATAATTTTTCTCTAGAATTAAATTACCAGTTAATAAAATGAGCCACAGTGCTAAAGACTAAAGCATTTAATGGTTCTTTTTCCAAACACTGTTCTCTTGAATTTTAAAGAACAATTTCTTACTTTTGAAAAAGCCCTCTAGGGCTGGTGCATCATAAGAGTTAGGTCACCAAAAACTGGACAACATAGAAGGACATTAGTCATCTTGACATCTCTATGATTCTCCTTTAAACCAGATACCAAACAGAAACTGTTACTTCTGGAACTTTGTTATGGTTCATGTAACAAATAGTATATCTCAAAAAGTATGAAATAAAACAATGAGATTAGAGGGGACACAGAGAAAATATCCTGTGGTTTGTTACATCTGTTGCTAAAGGTCTCACAGTTTTTCAAAGCATCCACATGGCATTGCCCTTTCCACAGAACATCCAGAGGAAATATTCTGTACAACAAAACCTCCAAATTCATCGTGGAGACATTCCGGTACTTAACATGGATACATGAAATCACAAATAACAGTAAGCCCTACTAAAATGAAGGACTTCTGATCCAAGAATACTATAGAGTTGAACTATCTCTTTTGTGGTGGTGGGCTGAGAAAAGGGAATCTCCTGAAAATCTTAAAGCTTGGGCTGGCTCATCCCTGGAGTTACAGTCTGCCAAATTGCCTACCCTGCTTCCTTCATTCTTTCTCCCTTCCTTGCTAGCTGCAAATGTCTGAGTGGATTAAAACCACTTTTCCAAGAAATTGAATTGGGCAATAAATAAAAAATTGTGTTTCCAGAAATAATTTTTATTTGGAGGGGGTGATGATATGCCTTTACAGAAGGGAAAAGGGGAAAGAGAAGGAGATTTAGTGGGCTTGGTGAGAAATAGGATTTCGTAAAATTCCTTCTCGCCAAAGTGTCAAATGAAGGGGGAGAGAAGTAACATAATAGATGGGATTTCTTCCTTTTACTGTGGTAAGCCTTTGAGTGTAGTATTATAATGCAATTTAGGTCTTTTAAAATTGTTAATGATGAACTTAACACTTAATCCTTTTTCAATAAAACCCCCCTTCTTTAATCACAGTAGTTAATATTTTTAGGCCCTCTGAGTCAGGTTTTGTTGTAGAAGTTAACACGCATTTAAATAGAATCAAATCTACAAGTAGACACATTTACTGCAAGCATTTTAAACAATGTCCCTGGGTTTCAGGCACTGCTCATGAACAATATTCTTCACAGCCAAAAAAAATCTGGTACAAAAATTGTCTGTTTCAGTTTGCCATGGGAATACATTCTGTTCCATAAAATGTAATTGTTTTTGGACAAAAATACCCTATGCCATTTTGAAACATGATGCAAAGAAGCTGATATGAACATTCAGATGAGAAACAACTCCTTCCTATGCTGAAAGGTGGGTGGGTAGCAAATGCATGATCCTTTGGCCCTCTCCAGGAAGAATCAAGCAGAGAAAGCCTGGACTGGAAGGATTTGGTGCAATCACAGGCAGCTCACTGTAATGAAACCCAAGATGTAATTTGGGAATGCTCAGGGCCAAAACAGGAATGCAAACAAAAAACAGTGCTGCAAATCTCTGAAGTGCTCCTCATAGAAAACATTCTTTGTCATATCCATGATGCAAACAGTGAGGTATGGTGGGCATGCAGAGATTGGAATGAGAGGAACCCTACCAAAAATTGCAACCCCTCCCCCCCTTTGATTACACTGAGATAAAGGCATTTTAGGCATGCATCAGGCAATGTACAGAAGACACTGGCCTACTGCTGGAAGGACTGTAGCATTCAGTATTAAAGTACTGCAACTTCTGAACAACAGGCAGCCTGAAGAAATATTGTGGAGGGAAGCAAGAGGCATGCATATGGCCACTGATAAATAGGCTCCATTTCAGGATTTGTGTGTTGTGAAGGTTCGAATGCAATACACCAGGAACAGATCCAACCATTGATGAACAGGCAGAGTTCAGAGATAACTATCCATTCTGTCAGCATATGGGGAGCAAGACAGTTTTTTTCACCAACTTATTGCTGGCGGAGGCCTGCTATTCAAAGAATCAGTATATATTTGCACCATTCAACAGAACATGTGGTACATGCCTTTCCCCGCTTTTTTTCTGCAAAAGGTATGTAATAGATATGAAAACAAGCAGACAACTCCCCATTTTGTGGGAAATTTGCTTTAAAGCATCCAAGCAATATGGTGACACAGAATTGCCCTTCATAGTTGAATATTCTTCTCAATAGAGAGTGTTGGGGGAAAGAGGGCTGTGATCAAAATTACCTCACAATACCACTAATACTAGATTTCCCTGAAAATAAGTAAAAACAGCTGTTTTATTTCAGGATTTTTTTAGGTCTGTTTCCTAACTTTTGGGATTTCCAGTTGGAAATGACAGTAATAATACAGTATAATAGGGACAGCATTTGTAAAACACAGAAATTCCAGTCGTTGCATTTTTATTTTTATTTTTTTGCAGAAAAAGAAAGCTAATCAACCAACTAAACTTAATGTGTTGCTTCAAGTGAACATGTGTTTTCTGACTCTAGATGCTTGGGTACAATCATTTTAGACCCACAAATACTCCTGTTCACATGAGGCACTTTTATCCTCTCAGCCTCACTGTCATGCCAATGGGATCAAGAAATACCCCAGATGTCACCCAAAGCCACTTCAGCCCTGGGATCTGACTTAATGCAGTTTATCTAAAACAGATTTTCAGGAAATTCTGATAGTTGAACTAAAGACTCATCCAGTTTAATATGCTATACAGAACTGAGTTTCTGTATTTAACCTTTTAACCTATCTTTTAATCTTACATATAAATTAGTGGTATACTTGGCTGTACACGTCTTAGACAGAACATTGTAAAATGGTATTCTAATTTGATAATTAAATAACACATTTCAAACTTTGGCTGAACCTTTACTGTCACGAAGATTACCTAATTGGCAAGTCATAACCTCTAGAACAGTGGTTCTCAACCTGTGGGTCCTGAGGTGTTTTGGCCTACAACTCCCAGAAATTCCAGCCAGTTTACCAGCTTTTAGGATTTCTGGGAGTTGAAGGCCAAAACATCTGGGGACCCACATGTTGAGAACCACTGCTCTAGAATATAAGGGATGACAGCAACAATGAATATAAAGATAAGTGACTCATTTTCAAGAGCCAGTGTAGTAAAGAGTCCAGAATTTCTTTGAGCTTTTAACAACAGATTATGACTCAGCCATGGAAAATCAATGGTCTTGGGTGAGTCATGCCTTCTCAGTCACAGAGGGAGAAAAAGGCAACCCCCCTCTGAACAAATCTTGCCAAGAAAACCCTATGTTAGAAATTATTGCAAGGTATAGAACAACAACAACAACAACTCTTGGATTTCAAAAGATGGCTCACCAGGTGATATTCTGAAGATATGAGTTTGAAAAGCTGAACAGACTTGGTACCATTGGGTTTGACAGTCACATGGCTAATATCAAAATGAATTTACAAGAGTTCACATATATCCAATATAATGCCTATTTTCCTAGCTGGAAAAAGTGCCATTCATGCCTAGCTGGGAGGGATCTGGTAAACTGAGAATCTGTACCTGGGATATTTCTATGCAAAGAACCATAATACTTTGTTTATGTTTATATATTCCTGTTAAAGGTGACCAACTTTTGAACTTACTGATGCAATGTATAAAGTCATATACTAATATATGGTGCAGAGTACACAATTTTACAGAGACTCTTGTTTAATATTAACATGTTCTCTATAACGCTTTGGCTTGTCCTAAGGACCATCCTGGGGGAGGGGGGTAATGGCAGGGAAAGACAGGCACTGCACAATACCTCAGCTTAGCGCTGGCACAAATGTAAAGGTTATTTTGAAATAATCTTAACACTAGATATTCATGTCACACATTAATTTGCATGATCCTTGAGCCATTTTGAAATGGAAACAAGCCAAATATACTCCCACACACATATCTGAATTATCAAAAGTGATTGAAGAAGATATCAGAACAACAAAAATGGCCAGCGACTCTCTTGGATTCCCACTTAACAGGTTAACATTAGGACAAAGTAACTGTGTGTAATTAGAAAACCTACTGCTTCATATTATGAAGTATGTTTGTTGCTCACAGTACAGGACACATAAACACTGGTGGTAAAACCTACTGTTTATCATTACTGTGATCATGTATACTAATATCACTGTTTAGAGAAGAGTGATTGCACTTGTATACACCAAACAGCATTATCTATGCTAGAGGTGGGCAGTATGGCCTTGAAGCCACCTGTAGCCAGAGACCCTGGAAATGTTTTTAAGCTGAAATAGTTCAACATTGGCAGGTAGGCTGCTATTAATTTTGTCTACTTACGGATACTTGGAAGAGGGACAAATTACTTCTCCTATTCATTATCATTCTGACATCTTTTAACATAAAGTCTATTAAAAGCTCAATGTGTATTTAGCGCCCTCCATGTTTTCAGTTAAACTTATTCCCATGTAAATAGCTCACAGGCAGCATTTATTATTACTAAGTGACAATTACCGTCTTGAGATGCCTTACTGCTTTATCATTTAGTACACTTATTATTCATAATGCCTGAATAGTCTTTGCCACATAGAAGTCTTGGCAGTCCATTTTTAATATCATTCCAGAGGATCTCACTCCCTATAGCCTAGTCTTAGGGGGAGTATCTCAAGCACTGTTCCCAATTCTCATTTTTGTTACTATCCATGTTTGATACAACCCTGGGTTTAGTACACTGACAGGATAAATGAGCAAACTACTAAAAATTAGTCATTTCTACATAGAATGGACTTAGAATATGAGTTTCAATATTTTTTCTGCATATGTGAATTTGACAACTATGATATTTTCATTTTCAAGAATGAGCCAGGATCATTTTGTCATTTTTTTTTTAATCCAGAAGGAAGGCAGCCTCAGACATACAATCTATTTAGTGAAGCTGCCAGAAGGTAAAAACCAAATTAAGTTGAAGGCACGCTATTCTGACTAACATGATTTGTGGTTCTTATTTAAAGAAGTCTGGTACTATTATGGGTGAGTTTACCAGCCATTATTTTACAGTAATAGTTTACTCAGCTTGCTTTGAATATGGAGTCAGCCCTCCACACTCACTAGGGTTAGGGGCATATAAAAGGGGAAAACTGCAAATAAAGAAATTGCTATTTTTTAACCTGAAAGAACACCTCTCTGGGAATGTTAGGTCTTCCAGCATGTCTTTATGGTCCAAACTTTGAAAAAAACAGACCATAGAATCACAGATTCTTCAAAAGGATCCATGAATAATTAAATCTACAAAATTCTAAATTGCCAATGTGGAGGGACAACTGTAACTCATCTGTCAGTGATCAACATTCAGTAATGAAAATTTAAAAACCCACACAGAACAGGAACTAGTCCAATTGGGGAGCTTCTACCCCTTTGATATTAAGAAGGCTTAAACTCCAGCTAAGAAAAGGCTATGAGGGTTTCAGTAAGCACCAAATGTTTTCTCACCAAAGTTTCCCAGGCTGTTCTCTTTTGTATCGACACGCATTTCTAGGACCCTCACTTGTTGCAGATCATCTAACCCTGTCAGTGTTCTCTGCAATGATAACAAAAGGGTAATTATGAAATTTTGCATTCTTTATCATGGAATTCCATAAAGAAGCTTGTATTCACTGAGCAATTCAGGTCTATGCAGAAGACTCTGAGGAGACCGAATACTTGATTTCTAGTAAAAGGGTGAAGGGTACAGCTATCAATAATTTTCAGTGCTGTGGCAATTTACAAGTTAATGCACGTAAAAAAGAAGTGCAGGCAACTTCACTATAGCTATGCTGGGTAAGGACTTTGTATCCCAATGCCTACAGTGCTCAGCTACAGATACAGCACAATAGGGAAGTGGGACGTGTAGTCCTATAGCTGTTATTGTTCTATAATTCATATCATCCCTCACATCACTGTTTGCTAGATCTGATGGGAATTACATTCTAATAGCTTTTGGAAGATAATACTTTTCCCACTCCCACATTTGAAATTTCTGATAATCTTTGGACACATAACCTGCAAAAATAAGGGAGAAAGTATCACAACTATGATGAGAAGCACATCAAGGCTATCACATTTTTTTCTTTCTGAAGATGCCTTAGCATTGGTCTTCACCCCATAAAAATGGAAATTGAAGGCTTTGCAGAAATCACACAGCCAAAGTTTTATATTCCATTAAAGAAACCGACTAAAGTCTCAAGTTATAACCAGGGTTAGCCCTGCTTAATTTCCAAGATCAGATTGGTGCCTTTAGAGCAGCCATGGGCAAACTTCAGCCCTCCAGATGTTTGGACTTCAACTCCCACCATTCCTAACACCTGGAGGGCCAAAGGTTGCCCATGCTTGGTTTAGAGTATTAAGGTCTTGAGCCCAAATGTGTGTATGTGTGTGTGTGTAATTAAACACATCCTAATAGATTCACATTCTTTCCAATAATATATCAGATATGGTGGGAGAAAATAAATTGGGGGGGGGGGGTGCTGTTCCATAAAGGAGGACAAAAGCTATGAAAAATTACTATGACCTGACCAGTAGAAACCCTAGTAGTCACCAACATTTATCTCCTCAAACACTACCCCATTAAACTCTCTTTCTAAAACAAGGGTATTTGTACTCAAAGTAGACCTTTTAAAGCTAGAAATAAATATATCTACTATGAATTACCTCCCATGGGGCTTTTAACAATAAGAGTTCATTGAATTCCATCTTTGGATGGAAATACTGATATTAACTCCATTTATTGACTGTGTATGATTATTTGGGATGATAAAGGTTACAGTCTAACCCATCTGACTGAAACCCAGTTGGGGGATCATTCAGTATTCAGCACTATGGAGAGTCAACAACAAGATTTCAGACACTCAACTGTAGGATGGAACAGCAAACTTTATCAAGTATATCAGTTTTAAAAAAAATGGTCACACCCAAGAGTGAGGAGCAATAGGACCCAAAGTACTGAAAGAAGAAAGGAAATACAGGCACACAAGATTTCAAAATGTTTTTCTTAGTGAAATACTAGAAGAGAAAGAAATTGTTCCCAGATATCAAAACAAGTTAAGAAATATGGTATAAATGTGCTGAGGAAAAAATACTTTCTGCAACTCAGCCATTAAGGAGATCCAACTACTAGAAAGGCAGAGTGAAAATTTGTTTGTAATCATTTATTTGAACAGCACTACTATTTATATACTTGAAAAAAGCCAAGGGAAGTTAACAACATGAAAGCAGCTGCTTCATCATGAACATTAAAAGGGTGTAGCAAACATAGCTTGTGTTTCCTTGACAATGTTACAGTTTTAAAGGAGGAAGTGTTTGCTCCAACAATGCCCACTCATAAAGAACTTCTCAGGATAAATGAAAGTCCGTATTTGGTTAAAAAATAACGTAACTGTCAGCGATAACACTGAACAGTTAAACCACAGAAGCTGAACCTTCACCAAACACAACTCTGACTTGGCTGAAATGTTTCAGAAGTCACACCAGGATCAAAAATTTGGAATACTTTTATTAGTTTTGTTAGATGAAATAACGAAAAGTTTTCAGTTTCCTTTAACAGAGAAGAACATGAAAACATTTCAAGTTTGGAAAGTTTGTACAAGATGATAAACTGATGCCTGGCACCAGAAAGATTAAATACATGCATATAAGGGCCAGTAATGTATGTTGGAAATGCAGTCATTAAGAGGCAATCCACGGTCATACATGATGGGCAGTGATAAGAAATTCTGGACTCAGATCCACAGTTTGATGGAGGACACTTTCAAATTAAAAATTCGTATGAAACCTGGGTTCTTTGGTTTGATGGATATTTTTATATTTTCCCAAAATATATTTATGGCTGCCAGACTGCTTTATGTATAAATGGAAGGATACAGCTATATCACCTAAGAAGATTGGATGCTGAAATTGACAGAGGTGAATAAACTCGTGACTTTTATTAGAGAAAAATCATTAAATAATTATTATAAAATATGGGAATTGTTGTTGCCTATAGGGGTTAGTGAGGGAGATTATCCACATTAAGATTTCAAAAACTGTAGGATTGAGTGATTAAGTGGAATTATAATAAGTGGACAATTATAATCCTTTACCAGGAATCCAGAAGTCAGTGGTCTTTCTTCCCGTTCTTTTCGTATTGTAGAACATTACTTCGGTAGGTTAGTAGCTTTATTATGTGTACTGCATTTGCCTTATATTTACTTAATGTTTATATTTTTCTCCTGAAATATTGTTTTATACTATAAAAATGTGTTCTTGGGGTTATTTTTAAAATTTCCACCTTCAGTCTGAAGTGGTACAGTTGTGCAGTAAGTTTTTAAAAAAATTGTTTTATTGGTTTTTCCCACTCCCACCCTCCCCTCCTTGTACATGCCATTTATACATCAAACTACAGAAGTTACATTTGAAATATCAGTCTCAGTCTTAATTTTTCTACTCCACATCTTAACACATTCTCTAAATAATTCCTAACTGGTTCCCACATCCTCTTAGTTATTGTAATCTTTTCAATTTTATCTATATTATTCCATTTGCAATTTGCTATTTCCACATTTAACATATTAACTATATAGTTATACCAATTAATCAGCGTCCATTTTGTTTTCTTTCCAACCCCTCACTAAAACAATTTGTGCACACACGATTAATTTGTCAACCATTTTTTCCTTTTGTATATTCTTCAATCCTGTTATCCGTGCACATGCCAGTAGCCAGGATTTTGATTCGGGGGGGGGGGGGGGCTGAGTCTGAGTGAAAGAGGGTCTACCCTAGCAAACCTTTTGTATCATTACCCCAATACCCCCATGCATATGGGATATATTGAGTACGGTGATCAGATCATGATATGAATAAACATAACAGTTTAAATAATGCACCAGTAAGGCCTTTTCGCGAACCACCATGAGAATTTCGGGGGGGGGGGGCTGAAGCCCCCAAGCCCCCCCCCCCCGGCTACATGCCTGTCCATGCATGTAGTACATTTCTATTAATTATTACTATTTGTAAATTTAACATTCTATTGATTTCCCCTTCAATCATTTTCCAGTATTCTTGCACTTGATCACATTCCCATATCATATGATTAAACACCCCTCTTTGTTCACAGCCATGCCAACACCTGTCCTTTATCCCTGGTACAAAGAGTGAAAGTTGTGCAGGAGCAGTTGTGCAATAAGTGAAATCCAACATGACTTCTGATACTATGCTTTATCAAAATTCTCTGCCATCTTTTGTTTGGTTCTTTAGTCAACAAAGGACATCTGCCTTTTGCCTGGAGGCAGTTATTTTCTCAAGAAAAATTATTTCACACAGCAAAATCAAACTGTATTTAAAAATAAAAGCAAATGAGTTCTTTCCTTTTAATTATTTAAAAAGAAAACTGAAGAGAGGGAGACCACAATAGCCTTGCTGAAATTCTTGAAATACAAAGAGTATTGGTACAGTTCTATTTTTGTTTTATTTCTTTGCATATTTTCAGCTACTCTCATCCCAACAAATGCAGTATATTGTCTAGCTACCCTCCGCTGATATCAGCCCATCTTAAGTTTTCCTCAGCTTTTAACTGATATGCAAGTAAATAATGCATAGCACAATGTAAAAACAAAAGAACCACTAGGGAATCTGCCTCATTTTTTTCTACAGTGCTGCTATTTTATGACTAAAAATATTATGCAAATATTAAGTGAAAATTTTCAGCATATTCTTTATTCTGAACACAAAGAACACAGTAAGCTGGACCCAGTAAAAGTTTCCCAAGGTCTCCTGGAGTCCTAGTCTAGCACTCAAACCACTTCACTCCATTGACTTTCACTATAGATCCATTAACATGATATTAACTTACCAACTTATCAGGAGAAAGATATTCATCCACAATTTGTTCCTCCTCTTCTTTAATGGATGGACTTGGATTTAGCTGACTTTGCCAATCAAATTCTGTAACTCGAACTGTTCTTGACCCTGCCCTCAAACATCTTTCTAATTGCCGTTTTAGCTCCATCTCAGAGTTCCCTAAATATCAGCAACACAAAAACAGAAGTTAGGTTTTTAGTCTTTGTATTTCAGAATCAGTCTAATTCTAGGGTCATTCTAAAATCTTGCAGTGGTATAGAAAACCAATTTCTAATCCAAACCTTACATTCATAGCAGGTCAGCCTTTCCCATACTGGTTTCCCACAGGTAGAGATCCACTGTGCTAAAATGTTACCACTTGCAGGTCTCAAAATGAAATACTGGGATGGTGGAAGGTGCAGATGTTTCTCATGCACAGTTCTTCCATGCGCTTAAAGGGGCCTGGATTGGGTCCTTCAATCAATATTGAGCTGGCTCATATAATCTCCCCCTTTGGATTCAGTGAGGCCCACAATGTTAAAAGACCGAAAGAAGATCCACAATGGTTGAGCAAAGAGGACCCATAATGTTAGACGGTATGACAAAGTCAACCCCTTTTTTCGTTGGCCAATGTGATCTCCCTTAAGTGGAGGGAGACAATTTGGCACTTTCTCCAACCTGAGTTTGAGTGCTTTCTATAAAAAGAAACTCTGCTAACATTTTATTATGACAATGCAGAAATTATAAATAGAATAGAAATCTTTCATTCTGTTCACTTTGAGTTATCTGGAAAAAACTGTTTTATGGTTTTGAACCCAAGACAATGCCACTAAAGAGTTAATGAACACATGTGAAACAAAAAGAAACAAAGTGATTTATTTCAGCACTTCAGTATACTGCAGTTGCATTACAAAATGTGCTTTCATCTTTGAAACATATCTTAGAGCAGCACTTACTTATGGTTTTGACAAGTAGATCAATTTGTGGTTTAATATCCAAAGTTACGCTCCTGGTTTTTATACTTCCAATATCGATTTGTTACTTGTAACTCTTATAGAAATGAATTAGTTGGCAGAACAATATTTCATGACAAGCCCATGTGTGTAAAACAGAAAACGAATCCAAAACTGAAGATTCAATAATATAAATTTAATAGTGAACAATTAAACAGACCACTCAAATTCAGAACCCATACACAGAGGACAAATAAAATGTTACTTTTTAGTTTTTCAAGACAATTATACTTATTACAGGCAAGAACAGAACAGATGGAGATGCAATCGTTCTTTGAACTAAGACTATTTCCAGCATAAATTTTAGCACATCTAGCAGGAGATAATGAGAATTCTTTCTGGCAAAAGTTTTGAAATGTAAAGTAATAGTGAATAGGTATTTGAGGTTATTAAGGCCTGGCAAATCACTAAAGTGAAAACGATTCCCTGTTAAGTATGCACTAGTATGCAAATAAGTATTTTATCATTTCTTAAACAAAAAAAAAGTCATTTTCAGTTTCTGTAATCCAACAGAACTCTTAGACTCTTAGCTCCAACAAAGAAAATAAAGACAGTGTATAATTTTATGCACTATCTAGTTGTTTGGTTAATTCATTTAGACATTTATACTCCACCTTTCTGTGATAAAAATCAACCAAGCTCAAGGTTGCTAACAAATAAGGATATAAATTGAAATGATACAATCAATTAAGAGACATCAGGGTTTATATATATATATCTTTAGTGGCATTGTCTTGGGTTCAAAACTATAAAACAATTTTTCCAGATAACTCAAAGTGAACAGAATGAAAGATTTCTGTTCTATTTATAATTTCTGCATTGTCATATATATAGAAGGTTTGCCATTACCATTCTCTGAATACAGCTACAGCATCCTAGCAAAATCTCTTCCTCGGTTTGCCTCTACTTAGCTTCTGAGAACAAACAGAATCTGGTACCTTCTGAGTATTTAAGCAGCTAAAGGCTTTAGACACTGAGTACAGGGCTCAAACAGGTCCACGGGTTAATATAATTCCTGAGATATTTGGGTCTTACCCCAACTAGAAGTTTAAAGGCTAATGCCAGTGAAATTAAAAGGCAAGTATCAGATGTGGTCCATCCTCAAGGCAGTGGCATTGAGAAATGCACCACAGAGACTAGCCTAGAAGTGATGACAGCATGATGCCCAATTTAGCTCACTCACCACAAATGATGCAATATTTATACCTTCCATTTCTTCTTTGAATATGTCTAGCTTCCTCTGATTCATGCTTCTTATATTCTATATTGCTATAATATGTATTGTGTACTTTCATGCTTTTCTTTCACCACTGAGAAAGTCAACAGCTAAATGTCCTTTTGGTTTGAATGTGCTTGCATCCTATGTCACAGAGCTACTTGCAGTTGTCCTCTGTACTACGCCAGTAGATTATTCAGCATTATCTACTCTTGCAATCTCATCTCCTGGCACTTTCTCTCGGTTCATTTTGGATTGTCTTCTTTTGTGAAGCACTGAGAAGAATTAGGTATGGTGACTGTCATCTCTGAGAGATCCTCCCCCAGTGTCACCTCCTACTTCTAGTGCTTTCTAATAGTTGTTCGGCACAGTTAGTCTGGCTCCTTAGCAAAAGCCTGTCTAGCAGGGGAGACCCTACTAGCAGCACTGCTGTCATTAGCATAGACTTTTGCCTCACAGGAGCCTCCATTCCCACCATATGCATATGCTAAATCACTAGCAATCATTCTTCACCGTTCTATATGCCAGCAATAAAATATCACTTTCAAAGCCCATTGCTCTCTCTTTGGTACATAATGTATTCATTACTCTAGGGGTTTCTGCTGTATTCCCCTGTCACTTAATTATTTAGTTTCATACTTCAAGAAAAATAGCAGCTGTCTAAAGGAAAAGATCAGAAATTTGTACAGACTGCACACTATACATAGTTTGGTTTGGTAAGTCACTGGAGAGCTGTGAATGCATTTTTAAGTATAATTTTTTGAAAGTGCCCTATAGATAACCTCTTCTTATGGAAAAATACAATCTTTTGCCAGATGAGATTTATGATTATGTCATCAGGAAACTACTGTTATATCAATCAATTCCTAATGGTAAGAACCATTTTAAGCTACATTCATGCATTACATTGCATTCTATAGGCCAGTGGTGGCAAACCTATGGCATGTGTGCCAGGGATGGCACTCAGCATCCTCTCTGCAGGCATGCACTGCTGTCATCCCAGCATACAGCCGTTCCTGCTTCTTTTCAGGGTTCTTCTCATTCCCTCTCTTTCCGAGCCTTCCCTCCCTTCTTCCCTGTGGCTGCTGGAGATTCCTCCTCCCACTCTTCTCAGCAGCATAACCTCCCTCCCTCCCTGCTTTCATTTCCCCACACACTTTCCCCTCAAGGTGTGGTCTACCTTGGAAGGTGAAGTAGGAGGAAGCTACCTCAGATTCTCACCGGGAGACAGGGAAAGGGGTGCAAGTGCCTCTCTCTGGGGGTGTTGCTGGGGGCAACAAGGAGAAGGAAGGAAAATGAAAGCCCTCCAGAGACACCCTCAGTTAGGGTTTGGGGAGGCACCAAAGAAAGGCTAAAGAACTTGTAAAACTACAACTCCCAGGGTTATTCCCTAGCCTTGAGCCATGGCAGTTCAAGAGCTGCCAGGCTACATTCATTCTGTCTCCGGAGTCCCTTCCAGTAAAAAAAAAGTTCTTTCTGAAACAGTAGGACATATTTCAAGCAGGCATATGTAGGCTCTATCAGTTGTTACACAGCAGAATAAATTCATATAGGATAAAATTTACCTTTGGACTCAGACCATGAAAAATGGGGGTGGAGAGTGGACATTCCAGTAAGGAACATGTGTCATTTGACTATAATTTTAATCTATAAGACAAACACATGTGAAACAAAGTAATGGGTTTTAAAAGCCATAGTCTACTTTAAGAAAAAAGCTCAATATTAAAGAATATTTCAAGGCACTACATGTAAAAAGTGAAATTAATTGCAATACAACATTCTAAAATCTCAACAAAAAAAAAGAGTAAAATTGAGAAGCATCAAATTAAAATAATACATCTATGTAACACAGTCAAAAAGGTTTTATCCCGAGTCTGCAGAAATGTCATTTACAAGTATGGAAGACTACTAGGGAGAGGACAGGACATTTTCCTTCCATGATTTTTTATGATATGCCATTTATAAAGTATATTACTAATACAATTACTTTTTGATACTTTTGTGCATTTTCTAATTGGAAAAATACTTTTTACCAGATAATTACCACTTTAAGAAAAGTAGTTGTAATAGTCCTCAAACATATCTCCCTTTAAGAGGATGCATGACTTTTATGATTTATGGCAATTTTTATCTCAATACCTATACCTATCTTACAGCATTATCCCTTGGTTTTAAACATCAGTTGATAAACCTCTTGAACAAATGATTAATAAATAATATAAAAGCAATTGTCTCACTGATGCATTTACTTAGGTTTCCGGAGATGTATTTACCTCTGGTTATTTCTTCTTGGTGGTCGTAATCACTCTATGATCATTACGATGACAAATATTTACATGTGATACAGTAGGTCATTGTACTAAGTTGTGTTTGTGATCCCTCTGTCTTTATCCACTCTTCTGTGGAGCTTATTCACATTCTTTCATTACACCATCCATGGTGCTTCAATGGCAAATCTATTTGTGGTACACTGGTTTGAACAGTTACTGTTTATCTTCTCGAAAAAACATTAAAACTTTTTCCTACAACAAATTAGAAAAAAATTGCTTAAATGTAGACAATTTTTAATATACATTTTGCAGAGACAATTGTCAGACATCAGTAAATATCTACAGCAGTGTTTCTCAACCTGGGGGTCGGGACCTCTGGGGGGGTCACGAGGGGGTGTCAGAGGGGTCACCAGAGACCATCAGAAAACACTGTATTTTCTGTTGGTCATGGGGCTTGGCCCAATTCTATCATTGGTGGGGTTCTGAATGATCTTGGATTGTAGGTGAATTATACATCTCAGCAATTCCCAAATGTCAAGGTCTATTTCCCCCAAATTCCACCAGTGTTCACATTTAGGCATATTGTGTATTCGTGCCAAGTTTGGTTCAGATCCATCATTATTTGAGTCCACAGTGCTCTCTGGATGTAAGTGAACTACAACTCCAAAACTCAGAGACAATGCCCACCAAACTATTCCAGTATTTTCTGTTGGTCATGGGAGCTCTGTGTGCCATCATTGGTGGAATTCAGAATGCTCTTTGATTGTAGGTGAACTACACATCCCATCAACTACAACTCCCAGATGACAAAATCAATCCCTCCCCACCCCATTGGTATCCAAATTTGGGCGTATTGAATATTTGTGCAGAATTTAGTCCAATGAATGAAATTACATTCTGCATATCAGATATTTACATTATGATTCTTAATTGGTGTAAGATTACAATTATGAAGAAACAACGCAAATAATTTTATGATTGGGGTCACCACAACATAAGGAACTGTATTAAGGGGTCGCGGCATTAGGAAGGTTGAGAACCACTGATCTACAGCAATCATTTTGAACTCATTTCTAACACATTCAGCTGGAGAATAGCATATTCAGAACAGAAAGGTTAGGTTTAGCTCATCTACACTGGCTACTAATAAAATCATATAAGAGCCAACCAAGGGCTCTTCCATACAGCCATATAACCCAGAATATCGAGGCAGATAATTCACAATATCTACTTTGTAATTGGTTATTTGAGTCCACACTGCCATATAATCCAGTTCAATGTGGATTTTATACAGCTATGTGGAAGGGGTCTTAGCAATAGGCATCTTTATTGGGTCTAGGGACCTATTGTTCTTCCTGGGGAACCCAAAGACATAATGAATTAACAAAAATGTCCCTTGATTATAAAAAAAAAACACAATCAGAAATGGGAATACATCCATCAAGGCAGAAAATCCCACATTATCTGAATGTGGACTCAGATAACCCAGCTCAAAGCAAATATTGTAGGATTTTCTGCCTTGATATTCTGAACTATAGGGCTGTGTGGAAGGGTTCAAAGAAAACTCTATAAAATTGATGGGGTTACCATAAGTCAATTGGCCTTCTCGAAGTCACATATACACACAAAGGAAGAAAAAAAATAGCATTTGGGGATTGTAACCAGCACTGGTTTCTCAAACAACCAACATTTTCTGTAAACAAAGGCCTATTGCTGAAACAGGACAATATGGCAGTAAATCAGGACATATGAACTTTGGAAACATCTCTGAAAATTCCCTTTTAAAACTACGTCTCTTCCATTAATGCTGATTGTTTGAGAAACCAGTGCTTCAGAGAGGAAGTTACTTTTCAAGGATAACAGTACATCCGGACAAAAACAGCTAGCTAGTGGCTACTTAGAACTCCCAATTTCCCAGTTGCTCTGGAGCAGGGGTAGGGAACCTTTGGCCCTCCAGCTGTGGTGGACTTCAACTCCCACAATTCCTTGAGGCTCGGCATTGGGCCAAGGTAAGCCTTTGGGGCGAATGCCGAGCCTCAAGGAATTGTGGGAGTTGAAGTCCACCACAGCTGGAGGGCCAAAGGTTCCCTACCCCTGCTCTGGAGTCATGTTTGCAACAGACTAACAGATGAGATTGATTCATTAAGACAGTCATGGTCAAAGAGCAATAGACTATAGTTGTGCTATAGTTGTGTCATTGTTAGGGTCCCACATGTGTTATAATGTAAATCAAAATCATAAACAACCAATGAGCAACTGTATAGCTAGCTTAGACCAATGAAATGATTTGTGTTTCAGGTTCACAAGTGTGGGGTTGGAGGAACAATAAATGCTAAGGTGTAATAACTACAGTCAAATTTGATTTTTCATATGCTTAATGAGTGATGATTGTATACCATCCTGTAAACTTGATTGCTATTTTGTATATTTTTCTTCTTCTTTTTCCGTTTTTTTTTCTGTTGTCTGTTTTGTTTCTTGTGCACGCTATAATTTTTTTAAAAGAATGTATATTTATTTATTTATTTATTTCACAGTTTTCTATACCGAGCTTCTCAACCTCATTGAGGGACTCAGCCCGGTTTCCAGCCATAAAAAACATATACACTCATTATGGCATGGTCTGGGGCCGATGTACCTGAGGGGCCGCCTTACCCCCGACCAACCCGAGATCCCTCCATTCTGAGGACCAAGATTTATTAGAAATTCCCAGTGTCAAGACCTTGCATCTAACAGAAACCAGACACAGAGCCTTTATAGCAGTGGCACCATCACTCTGGAATACTCTGCCACCTGAAGTCCGTGCCTTACGGGACCTATCAGCTTTCCGCAGGGCATGTAAGACATATCTGTTTTGACAGGCCTTTGATCTTTGATATTGTTGTTTTTAAATTGTTTTAAATTGTTTTTAAATTGTGTTAGATTTTAACCTGTTCTTGTAAGCCCCAGGGGAGTGGCGGTATATAAGTTTGAATAATAGCCCCAGGAGGAGTGGCGGTATATAAGTCTGAATAATAAATAAATAAATAAATAATGATAAAAGCTCTGCAGCCCTATTGGGGGTTGCGCCAAACCCTTTGGTTGCATTCCTGTATGCTTGTTTGTCGATATTGCTAGGCCTGCAATAAAGCCTTGGTAGTAAGAATCCAACTTATGGCTTCCTCCTTGCATGGCTACATTGGGCCATTGAGGGACCTCCTCAGCTTGTGTATTTCGAGTGTCCCTGCATCGGTGCCCCTTCTGTGCCTTGGTATCTGCTGGGGTTTGGCTCCAACCCAATATCTGGGGATGCTCCAGTTCCATTATATATAATGGCATCGTAAAATGATGTCCCTTATATAAAATGGCAGTATCGATGATGATATCAAAGTTTGCTTTTTTATTATGTTTTTGTTAATGTTTTCAGGGTATGGAGGGTTGACTCCATGGATACAGAATCCATAAATATGAAGGGATGGCTGTATTCTGAGCTACACTACAGTGGCCTGCTCTAGTCCAGGAAGAAATCCATGGAGGGGGCACAAACCCCAGTAAATGCACTTCCTCCTCATGTGGGAAAAGAGCAGAGGGTGTATCTACACTGTAGAATTAAGGCAGTTTGAGACCACTTTAGCTGCCATGGCTCAATGCTGTAGAATCCTGGGAGTTGTAGTTTAATAAAGTCCTCAGCCTACTCTGGGAAGCAGTGCCTCGCCAAACTATAATTCCCAGGACCAAATAGCATTGAGCCACAGCAATGTTCTCAGTTCTACAGTATAGGCCAAGCATGGGCAAACTTGGGCCCTGCAGGTGTTTTGGACTTCAACTCCCACCATTCCTAACAGCCTCAGGCCCCTTCCTTTTCCTTAAGCTTAAGCGGCTGAGGGGGAAAAGGAAGGGGCCTGAGGCTGTTAGGAATGGTGGGAGTTGAAGTCCAAAACACCTGAAGGGCCTAAGTTTGCCCATGCCTGGTATAGGCCCACTCTCTGGCTTGTGTCCGTCTGGCACCGTTTTGGGACTCGTCCCTGTCCTCGGACGTTGACCTGGATGTATCGAGTGACCCACCTACCTGCTTCTCATTTCCTCCACCTGCAGGAACATGGTGGAAGTGGAAGATGTCTCTTTCCCCTCAAGCCCGCCCAAATCCCCAACAGCAGCCCCTTTCCTTTGATCCCGCTCCAGGCTCCTTCCACTGTCTTCCTGGGCTTCGCGTCAGCCGCCAGGCCTCTCGTTGCCCCGGCAACAGCCCGATTTGCATAGTCATGAGCTCCGGAGGCCAGGAGCCAATGAATACTTTCTGGCTGCGAGGGGCATGGCACGCTTTTGCCAATGACGGGACGGGGAAAGCCGACTAGTCCCGCCTTCGTCGCTGCCGGCGAATCAGATGCGGGGGGCGTTGCCAAAGTGAGGACTGGACAGTGGAGAGTCTTTTGGTGGCAGAATATCAAGGCAGAAAATCCCACAATAACGGCTTTGAACTGGTTTATCTGAGTCCACACTGCCATAGATTCCAGTTCAAAGCAGATAATGTGGGCATTTATTCAGCTGTGTGGAAGGGGCCTGAGAGAGTGCCAGTGTTGCTTGCTACTGTGTTTCTTACATATTATTAAAAACACTATATAGAATTACCCAGAGCATGTGAAGCATAGTTTAAATTCATATTTAGTACTATTCTTCTTATTTCAAAGTAGAGATTCTATTAAAAACTGCGCCATGAATTTGAAGCCAGCCCAGGTCGGCGTGAGCTCCCGACCATTAATAGTCTAGCTTGCTGTTGACCTTTGCTGCTCAAAAGACAGTTGCATCTGTCAAGTTCCATCTCCAAGATGCCAATATTCCAAAAATCCAGAATCTAAAACACTTCTAGTCCAAAGCACCCACCATGTTTAATCATGTTTTCAAGTGCACCATTTTATAGACACTTCCATATACAGTTGCTTAGGGGACATCTCGTTGGCCTTTTCATACCCCACCAAATTACAAGGATTCCATAGCATTTAAAGTGGAGTCAGACTGCATTAATTCTACAGTGTAGATCAGGCCTGAGCAAACTTGGGTCCTCCGGGTGTTTTGGAGTCCAACTCCCACAATTCCTAACAGGCACTTAGCTTTTCCCCCTCTGCGGCTTAAGGTTTTGGGAGTTTAAATTTTGCAAAACATAACACCAAATCAGTGCTCGGCCTATAATAGTGAGATCACCCAAGGCTTGTTCAATAGTTTTCAATAGAATCTCTACTTTGAAATGAGGAGAATAGTATCTCCTGTGACAGAGGAGGTACTATTCTTCTTCGGGTCCAACTTATCTTTGAGACTGCATCTCCTTCTACAAACTGGTGCAGACATTAAGATATGCTGGAAAGACCCATCTTTCGGTCCCACCACCATCTCAAGCATGGTTGGTAAGAATGAAAGAGAGGGTCTTCTTGGTGGTGGCTTCCCAGATGTGGAAAACCCTCCCTAAAGAAATTAGATTAGCCCCCTCTCTTCGGGCCTCCCTGGTGAGTCTAAAAACATGGCTCTTCAGCCAGGCCTTTGATCCTGAATAATTCATGGCTAATGTGTTGAATCATTGGTAGTACTGACCCACATTTTGATTGATTGTTAATGACAGATAGTCAGTCTGCAGGTTCCACTGCATTTTAGGAATTTTATAATTTTAATATTTTTATAATTTTATCAGTGAGATTTTTATGCACTGTTGATTATAGCTGACCTTGCTGTGGCACAGCTAGTTAGTAGCCTGCTGTATTAAATCACTACTGACCGAGAGGTCATTAGTTCGAAGCCAGCTCAGGTCAGAGTGAGCTCACGACCATTAATAGTCTAGCTTGCTGTTGACCTATGCCACCCGAAAGACAGTTGCATCTGTCAAGTAGGAAATTTAGGTACCACTTTAACTAATTTAACTAATTTACAGGACCATAAAACCTTCCAGCAGCATGCATAAGAATGAGGAAGTACTCCATCAAGAACTTGGCGTCACAAGAGGACGGTGAAGCAGCAGCTCCCCCTGTGGCCGGAATCGAGCATACCCTCATGAAGCCGGAATAGCTGGAATGTTAAATTGCCTCTGTGTCTGTCTATATATGTTGTACGTCTAATGCCATTGAATGTTTGCCTTGTATAAGCGCATTGTAATCCACCCTGAGTCCCCTGCGGGGTGAGAAGGGTGGATTATAAATACTGTAACTAATTAAATACTTATGTCATTGTATTTATACTTATGTTTTGTTGTCTGCATGTGACACTTGGAGTGCTTCTGTGAGCCGCCCCGAGTTCCTTTGGGGAGATGGTGGCGGGGTACAAATAAAGATTATTATTATTATTATTATTATTATTATTATTATTATTATTATTATTAAAAGAATAGTGGAAATACAGAGTCTTTTACTTTTTTGAATTTCATGAAACTAGAATGGGCTAAGGGTTAAAATACTAATGTAAAATACTAATGTAGTGAAATGGGTATAGCTATAGTCCAAACTGGGCATACCAAATCCTGAGGGTGAGCCTGCTTATGAACAATGGTTGCTAGTTTGCATTTTTTTCTGAGTTCAAGCATAGTATGTATTAATGTAATTTTCTGTTAATTTATCTTAGTCACTCACTTTCTCTTCCTGAAGCAAGTAGTCTTGAGTTTGTCCATTAATTTTAGTCTGCATTTCTATTTCTCTCCTCCTTGTTTGAAGGCCACATCTTTATAAAGCCTCTTACCATGAGATGTTGTGAAATTGTTAGCATTTGTAAGCAAACTATATTTTGTATAACAAAGAATACACTTTTGCAGTCTTTGCATTGCAAAGCCTTGTAACCTTGAAGCTGCAAGGCTTTGCAATGCTAATCAAGGTGATTAATGGCATAATTCACACTTGTCTCCAACAGACAAGAGTTCTTTCTCCCACCCTGGACCTGCCACAGATATATAAACCTCCCTTGTCTAGTTTTCACAACCTTTGAGGATGCATGCCATAGATGTGGGCAAAACATTAGGAGAAAATGCTTCTGGAACATGGCCATACAGACCAGAAAACTCACAGCAATCCAGTGATTCCGACCATGAAAGCCTTCGACAACACAAAAAAAGAATACACCTGCTCTATGAATTGGTTATACATGTGTAGAAGTGGGGTGGAACAGGTTGTTACTCACCTTCTGCTTGCAATTTTTAATTATTCTATTTGTTCTTTCTGTTGCTGACTTTCCACAATATTTCTGTGGCTCAGGAAGACATTTAAATATGCTATACATGCATCCTAAAGGGAAATAATTTCTTTATATTTACAGGAATTCCAGAGGAACTGGGGAGAGGTAAGAGATCCATCATATAGTCATACCTTTCAAGCTTGTGCTTGTCCTGTAGTTTCCCTACGCTCTCAGTTGGCTGCAGGTGACATTGCAGTGATGTTGCAGGTCGGGGCATGCTTTCATTGATGATGGAACATGTTCCCATGATCCCACTGCATCAAAGCTTCTAATTCCATCTCCTCGCTAATATTTGTGCAAGTTCACCAAATAATCCTATAATTCCTCCACTCTTGTTTCTTTATTTTAAAACTGTTAACCCTGGGGATTAATTTTGCCACAAAGTCACCTTCAGTTTATGGTGGCCCTATGAATGGCAAACTTCTGTGACACCCTATGGCATTTATTTTGAACTTTTAAACATCTCTTTTCTCCCCCACACCCCCACCTATGTATGTATATATCTGATATTGAAAGATAATACTTTATAAAGTGCTATTCTATTAATTAAAGCATATGTTGCAATGAAATTTCAGGTCTTCAGACCAGCCCAGTATTTCTTGTTTTCCCTCTATCCAGAGCTGAAAATCTAAACTTTCACATATACTTCATCTGTATTTCTGAGAACTGAGCAAGCTCTATGTCCTCCCACAATTTATTGTATAGCAGGCTGCTGCAGAAATATAATTCATTTAATTCATTTTGTAATAATAGAAGCTACTGCACAAATCTTCTGCCAGTAAGCAATGATGATTCAAGTGCTTACTGCGGGAAAACTGTAGCCAATACATTGTTTTCATATAAAAATGTGTTGCTAATGAGTACTGGGAAATCGTTCACTTTAGGACAGCATCATCAACTGAATTTCTTAGTCATATGCTTTATAAAAGTGCTATAATATGACAGTTACCTAAGCTGCCCATGCTCTTTTTTGGGTTAAGATGAGTATCACCTGACACAAGTAACTCAAAAAGAGGGTTTACATCAGAGATGGGAAACTGTGGACCTCAGGATCTAGACCTGGGGGGAGGGGGGCACTTCCATAATGCCTCACAATTTACTGTGCTGGTTAGGGTTAATGAGACTAATCCAAAAATAGTTGGAGGAATGCCACTGCCCATTCTGATCAAGATTAATCAAAGTAAATAGTTTCAGATATTTGACCCCCCCAACATAAAAAGTAAACAATAAATTCTCTTAAAAACAACACTATTGGTACCTGGCATCTTCTTCCACCCACTGAAAGAGGCAGAAGATGTAGCAGCACCAAAGTAAGCCCCTTGCATCAGCTTTCAGGAGCATAATGTACAGCTGGCGTCTAGACATGTCTGCTGAGGTAGAAGCCTGACAACAGCTTTCAGGCATACAACGCACAGCACATTTTCATGCCTATCTTCTCAGAAGCTCCAAGGCAAACCCATTTCATTTTCTTCTAGTCTGTAGTTCAAGTGTCCAAAGTGATTTTGTTTATACTGTTAGTGAACCAAGTCACAGCTAATGGCTTTGAATAAAAAACTGTTTCTTCCAGAACATTCATGTTTGAAGTATGTTTTTCATTCTGTAGGAGTGCCAGTGAGAACATGAAGAATAATGGGGAGATTTTAAGTGCCCATAGCTATTTCATCATGAAATATAATGTGGAAAAATCAATTGCTAGCAACTCTGTAAAGTGGTATATGCACCTTACACTTTCAAACACAAATTCAGATTACACACTCTTGCACCTTATCTGTACTGAAGTAAATGACATTGTTGTCATTGTAAGTGTGGGCATTGTATACCCACGAGTGTGGAATAAGACACAAATGTGTTAGACCAGTTCATTTAAGATAGATTTTAAAAAAACTTCTCATTGAGTGTTATCTGCAGAAAGAATTGAAAACTGCTGGCAATGGAGATGTTCCCTAGTTGTTCTGTACTATGCCCACTCTTACACCCATTGTTTGAGATCCTGCTTTAGGAGATATACATGTACCACATAGCAATGCCTTTATAGTTACAT